CGTGCATGGATGTACCGACTGGCACATTAACGATAAGCTGGTTTTCTAACCCTTGACGTTCTCTGTGAATTTGTTGGAGGTGTTTTGCAATAAAAAAAAGGGCATTTAGTCAACCTTATTAAAGAAGTTGACGTTCCAATCGATATCACTTGCTGGAACAACGCGATGCGTCACTCTGCAGGTTTCTGGAAGAAGAGTCAGCCCACTAAAAACTCACCAGTGGTTGCCAGCTAAATTCACTACACAACCGGAGAGTTCTTCACATAATCCTTCTCCAATTGTACCTCTTGAGAAATGGAACTAAGTTCTTTGAAGTTTGTGGACGTGGGAGAGGGCGGAGCGACAAGTAACGCGAATTTTGTTTGTTGCAGCGTTACTTATTCTGAGCGGCACTTGTTGCATTGTTGTCCAAGGCGTCGAAATGGTAGAATTACGTCCCTGCTTGCAGGATCCGCTGATGTTTAGTTCGCATCCAAGATGCAAGCCGTGCTCTTGGGTATCATCAGTAAACGTCTGTGATCTACGGACAGACAGACATGATTAAGACATACAGACAGGACGCAGGTATACGGACAGACAGACATGATTAAGACATACAGACAGGGCGCAGATATACGGACAGACAGACATGATTAACACATACAGACTGGACGCAGATATCCGGACAGACAGACAGGACGCAGATATACGGACAATCAATCATGAGACAGATGTAAGACAAATATACTTGGTAAAGACATACAGACATGGTACAGCCATGATACATTTTTAAGTGAGTGAGTGTTTTTTGACGCCGCACTAGCTATATTGCACCTTTCAGTGTCTATGGTTTATGGTATATTTTTATGAAAGCTAAGTAATAGCGATATCATTTACAAGACTCTAACACCCGATCACAGTGAGGCGAAGCTTTTAAAACGTAGTTTATTTACTCGGGACTGACTCAGTATGTTCAGCTCAAGGCGAGGGTCAGCATCGTAATAGACCTAAATACGTGAATATCTCTACTTTTTTGTTGTGATGATTAAAGCAACAAGCTCTGAAATTCCTGAATATTGTATTTTGTTAAGTCAGGTTTCGGCCATATCTATAACGCTGACCCTCTTCTGTTAGTATCTGTTTCACGTTTCACAAACAAAATTATCTAAAAACTACTCATTCCTCTCTGTCGTAAGTAGAAAAAGCCCGTATTGCACTGGAGCATGCTTAAGTAGAGGAGAGGTTTCTTTGAAGCCGTACTCTGTCAATTTCACGCATTACGTATACTACAGATGTCTCAGGTCGCCCCCGAGAGAGGTCATGCCACGCGTGCACCAGAAGAACGTCTCAAAAAAGATTTTAACTGACTGCCGGTTCAATATTGAACAGAATGGGTTTTTTGAGTTTTTTCGAGTTCTCATATTCAATACGTCTTTTAAGAGACACACCAAAGGCCATTTTATGAATTTCCATAATTGATAATGCTTTTATAGGCTTACGGTGTTGATGTTATTTCTTTAGCAAAAATGACACTGGTTGCGATCGCAATTGGGAAAACCACGCACTTCAATCAGTTGTATTGATCATTCTTGTCCGGGTAATACTCACCGAGCCGAACCTGTCAATAAATATCGGGTTTGGATGGCGTGAGTTTAGAAAGGTGCGTCATTCCAAGACAATATGCAACTACTCACTGCACGAGTTAATTGTGAAGTTTTGAAAAGAAATTACTCTTAATAGGACAAATGTGCAAAACATTCCAGACTATTTATGTTCAGTGAAACGTACGATGATCTGGACACGCGATTCCGTGATATGAATAGAATAGAATATGACTTGGATCCTGGAGATTTGAAGCACGATCCTGCATCTACGTCTGTATCCCTCGGATTGTCAATACATGTTGAATTGCCAATCTGGGTAGTACAAAGTCAATGTGTTTTATAAGATTGCTTCGTAGAGCCGCGTTCCAACTCACGGGGGTATTAAGGCCAAGATGCACTGAGCAAGTGAGGGAATTTAACGCCGCTTTGAACAGTATTTCAGTTACATCACAGCGTGATGCGGGTGCTGATGCAGATCATAGTTTCCCACTTTGGTTAAACCAGCGAGCAAGGGTATGGTGCTGACAAACCTGGAAACCCAATCGGGACGAACCTGCATTCGAACCACGATCAAATGATTAAGCCAAGCCAAAGGGACGCAACTCTACTCCGCGATTAGACGACAGGGCCCACCTGGTCCCTCCCCCAAGACCCAGTGAGAATGGATTGGTTCTGCTGTTTTCGTGTTGTAACAGTTGGCCTGTCACACGTATAAAACATGCAGCGGAGCGGATCCTGACATCCAGCTGACGGATGTTCTCAATGTTATCACCTTTGTATGGTTTACAGTAAAAATCTGTTAGGCCGGACCCGCTCTTCTAGAATACGTTTCCCCGGACGATTCATTATGAACGGTACCGTCTGGATAACCGGAGTTTTTACTGCTCAGTGTAACCCTTTGTGGTCTGCACCCATCTTCCCGAGGCAAGAGCGTCCACAAGCCTTTTTTATCAAAGTAGAAACTAGGCTTTGAAATAGGCCAGTGGACACCTCGCGCCAGGAAGATTGTCTGTAGCCTGTTAATTCGAAAAACCTCGAATTCCTGAAGTTTGTTGTTTGGAACGTTTCTCAATGACAGTTACTCGTTTCTGAAAATAATTTGATGATTTGATTGAAAATGTCCGATTAACTGAGTTTCATCCAATAGTTATTTCAACATTGATGATAAAGTTGCAATCTGATTTTACTGTTGTTCGACGAGTGAGTGAGTGAGTGAGTTCGGTTTGACGCTGCTTTAAACAGAATTGTAGTTACACCATAGCGCGTTTGTTTGATAGGAGGAACAATACCTTATTTATTCACGTTTCAGTCATTTGGACATCAGTGTTTCCACGTTGCCACTGTTGCCAAGTGCCTCCTCCACCCTGTACCTCTACCCCCTTGCCCTCGTGTTCCCCATTAGGCCCCACCCTCATATATTTCACCTCGTGGTTGAGCTCTATTCTCTCCATACTTACATCATGTTGGTATTTCCGATCTCTTCATTCTGCCATGATGTTGGTATTTGTTTTCATACTTACGTGATGTTGGTATTTCCGATCTTTTTCTTTCTCCCTTTCTGTTGGTGGCAGTGCAGCACGCCAACCCTCCCTTCCCGTGTTCCGTCCTCCACCACTGGAGTTAATCTACCCACGCACTGATGTAGAGACGTGCCCCCGTCGTACAAACCATGGCTCCCACGTCAGACCTTTAGTTCATCAGTTTCTGTCCTCAGACACTGGTACTTATCGACCTCCGCAACAGAGTGGATCAATGCCCTCAGATTACCTGTCACAGCCCTCGCCATGTTCCGTCACGATAGCAGATACCCTAGAATAGTAGATACCCAGAATAGTAGATACCACTGAATAGCAGATACCCTAGAATAGTAGATACCCTAGAATACCACTGAATAGTAGATACGCTAGAATAGTAGATACCCAGAATAATTGATACCACTGAATAGTAGATACCCTAGAATAGTAGATACCCAGAATAGTAGATACCACTGAATAGCAGATACCCTAGAATAGTAGATACCCTAGAATAGTAGATACCACTGAATAGTAGATACCCTAGAATAGTAGATACCACTGAATAATTAATACCACTGAATAGTAGATACCCTAGAATAGTAGATACCCAGAATAGTAGATACCACTGAATAGTAGATACCCTAGAATAGTAGATACCACGGAATAATCGATACCACTGAATAGTAGATACCCTAGAATAGTAGATACCCAGAATAATTGATACCACTGAATAGTAGATACCCTAGAATAGTGAATACCCAGAATAGTCGATACCACTGAATAGCAGATACCCTAGAATAGTAGATACCCAGAATAATTGATACCACTGAATAGTAGATACCCTAGAATAGTAGATACCCAGAATAATCGATATCACTGAATAGTAGATACCCTAGAATAGTAGATACCCAGAATAATCGATACCACTGAATAGCAGATACCCTAGAATAGTAGATACCCAGAATATTCGATACCACTGAATAGTAGATACCCTAGAATAGTAGATACCACTGAATACTCGATACCACTGAATAGTAGATACCCCAGAATAGTAGGTACACCGGAATAGTAGATACCCTAGAATAGTAGGTACCCTGCAATTGTCGATACCCAAGAATAGTAGAGATACTCAAGAATAGTAGATACCTTAGAATAGTAGATACCCTACAATAGTATATACCCTGCAGGAGTAGATACCCTGCAATAGTAGATACCCTGAATAGTAGATACTCTAGAATAGAATAGTAGATACTCTGGAATAGTAGATACCCTGAACAATCTATAGAAACGCCATCACCGTTTGTCCAAGGATGTCCCCCGTTATACAACCCATACCTTCACATTCTAGACACACCATCTCCTGTTCTGTCCGTGGTTTTCCCCCGTTATACAACCCAGACCTTCACGCTCTAGACACACCATCTCCTGTTCCGTCCGTGGTTTTCCCCCGTTAAACAACTCAGACCTTCACGCTCTAGACACACTATCTCCTGTTCCGTCCGTGGTTTCCCCCCGTTATACAACCCAGACCTTCACACTCTAGACACACCATCTCCTGTTCCGTCCGTGGTTTTCCCCCGTTAAACAACCCAGACCTTCACGCTCTAGACACACCATCTCCTGTTCCGTCCGTGGTTTTCCCCCGTTATACAACCCAGACCTTCACACTCTAGACACACCATCTCCTGTTCCGTCCGTGGTTTTCCCCCGTTATACAACCAATACCTTTACGCTCTAGACACAACATCTCCTGTTCCGTCCGTGGTTTTCCCCCGTTATACAACCCAGACCTTCACACTCTAGACACACCATCTCCTGTTCTTTGTCCGAGGATGTCCGTCCGACAGCCAAGACGCTAATACCCCTGACATCCTGACCAACCCTGTCTGTTTTCTACCTCCAGCTTCTGATGTTCGTGTACTTCCTGACCCTGGTGTGGGTGCTGGCCCTGGCGCTGCTGACGGTGCCGCTGGTGTTGCTGGGCATGCTGTTCATCCTCACTGGACACACTGGCCTCACCTGCATAGATCTCAAGAACTACGGTAAGACACACACGGCTGTTACATACCCCACTGACCCGTGAAGATCCGGGGTAAAACAGGTCTTCGGCAACCCATGCTTGCGGTAAAAGGCGACTAAGCTCGTCGTAAGAGGCGACTAACGGGATCGGGTGGTCGGGCTGGCTGACTTGGTTGATGCATGTCATCGATCCCAGTTGCGTGAATCGATGCTCATGATGCTAATCACTGGATTGTCTGGTCCAGATTTGATTATATACAGACCGCCGTCATATGGCTGGAGTATTGCTGAGTGCGGCGTTAAACAACAAACAAACAAACAAGACATACCCTACGAGGGGCGTTCAATAAGTTATACAACTTCAATATAAGACCAAGTCGCAGAAGATCTTTTGCACTTTTATTTTTCAATATAATTTCCATTCACCTCATTACACTTATTCCATTTGTCCTTCAAGCTTTTAAATCCACTTTTATAGAAATCCGCAGATTGGCCCTCTAATCACGCCTCTGTGGCAGCCTTTATGTCCTCGTCATCCTGGAAGCGTTTTCCACGTAGGGCAGATTTCATTTGCAGGAAGAGGAAATAGTCACTGGGGGCTAAGTCTGGGCTGTAGGGTGGGTGACTCGATTATTTACAGACCTCCGTCATACAACTGAATATTGCCGAGTATGGCGTTAACAAACAAACAAACATTTTCGTGGACAGGGTCAGGTAGGGATGAATTGATAACAGATATGGACTATAAGGTGAACAACACCTGCCTTAAGATAATATGAACTATAAACTATTAATTATAGTGGGGCGGTTGGGTAGTCTAGTGGTTAAAGCGTTCGCTCGTCACGCCAAAGATCCGGGTTTGATTCCCAACATGGGTACAATGTGTGAAGCACATTTCTGGTGTCCCCCGCTGTGATCTTTCTGGAATATTGCTAAAAGCAGCGTAAAACCATACTCACTCACTCATTAATTATAGTTGTGAAAGGGTAGAGTCTGTGGTAAATATAAGAACAATTAAATAAATTATAAATTTAGAAAAAAACACGGGTATGGTACTAACAAACCTAGAAACATTATCTGGGCGAACCCACGATTATATCGGTCTCTGGCGTGCCCAAGGGACGCAACTCTGCACAGCGAATTGCCTCGCCCCAGAAGACTGGACCACCCGTGCCCCCAATTTGATCCTAAATAGATATGGACACCTGACAATAAAACCCACATGCACAACAGAAGAACCAACGGGCAAAGAATAAAACCTTGAAAATGCTAAGAGATGGGGGATCGTTTTGTTGAGCTCACCCAAAATGACAACTTAAGATATGGATTCCAATGGTTGGACTACGCATTGGAAAGTTCTATGCCTTGTTGGTGTGCGGGGATGTTTCACCAGAACAATGGCGGACATCGAGACAGTTATTGGCGCATAATTCGTCACAGTGATGCTGCTGACATTCCTTTAGCAACAGGGTCAAATTAGACTTGCTGATTCCAGTATTGACAAAGTCATCTCGAACGAGACAATGGGTGGAGTCGGCTTGTTTCCCGCATAATTGAAAATCCAGTTTTCAAAATGTTACCATTCAGGTTTATTTATTCTACCAATTATTTCAACTTGTGAGGGTGTTGATGCAGCGAAGAACTGTCTCAGTCTGGAGTTTTGCGACGCAGCATGTTTTGAGTTTCATTGTCAACAACAGAGGCGTTTCCCAGATTACCAGCTGCCTGTTTTTACTGTGGACGGATCGAGTGACCAAGATGGAGTGCCTCGATGCAACATTACTTTCCCCTGGCCTACATTTTGCGACAGATATATTCAAAATCGTGCCGAGTGACAACCAATGTTGATCCTATCTTTCCGTTATGGCAGATCCTGCTTTGTCGATATACACTTCTTCAGCACGAGAACCTGCCTTTGTTTTATCCATAGATTAGTTACTTGTTGATCGGTTAAGCTGGCAGACGACACTCCGCGTGAGCTCGTGCAGAGAAGCATGCAGGTTGGTTCGTGGCCTGCATTCTCTGCACATGTGTAGCTTGACAGCTCAGCAGACGACAACTATGGTGTGTTTCCCATGTGCCACACTGACACAGCAAGAAGAGGAAGCCATATTCACGAAGTGCTTCTAAGGCGGGAAAAAGATCGATAAGGATTAATCATGTTTGCATATTGACCTAAGACACATATATGGGAGATGCAGCTCAGTATCGATAACAGTTTGAGGCACACAGTTTAGGACTGATGCAAATTGAGAATTCCTTTTCTTATGATAAACAATAAACTGTAATCTAACGCGGGGGATGACGCTCGACGAACAGAAAGCCCCGCAGTCTTAATATGTGACCTTTTAAGAGGTTTGCCCCGAAACTGCCGGAGTATATGAAAGAGCGGAGATTTGCACAGTACCAGACTAAACCATTACACTCAATTGAATAAAAAGGTTGATGATACCACTTGTTTCACAAGGGAAAAGCTGTTTACATCAAATGCCAAATGTGAACCGTTGATAGGAAAATGGGAAGCCCATTTTCAGTTCGCACATAATTTATGAACGACATGGAACACGGATGTAGTTTGGATGGTTGATGAAAGTCCACTTGCGCATCCTTCTACGGAAATAGATAAGTCCAAAGACCGACAAAGTGTGACCTTAAAAGATTACCACGTCCAGGAAAGTCCTGGATCACAAAGCTACTGTACTCAACAGGCATTCTGAGCATTCTTCTCTCTCATATAGTATAGAGCTCCTTCACTTTGTTATTAAGAGGACACAGTGGGGATCTGACGGTTCAAACCGCTGAGGCAGAATTCTAACTGGTTGGTCGGGTGGTCGGTAGACCGTTCATCTGAGTTCGATCCCTGCATCGGTACAATATGTGAAGCCCAGCCTCTGTGCCTTCCTTGGGGATATTAATGCTATACCCCTAACAGTGTTGTGAACTCTTGCCCCTTTTTTATCAAAGAAGGCCTGGAATGACGACAATCTTATTAATATCTTAGTTTTCGCGACCTCTAAATATAATGAGACCCGTGAAGATCCTGGGTAGAACAGGTCTTCAGCAACTCAGGCTTGCCATAACAGACGACTGTGCTGGTCGTAAGAGGCGACTAACGGGATCGGGTGGTCAGGCTCACTAACGTGGTTGATGGATGTCATAGTACCCCAATTGCGTGGATCGATGCTCATGATGTCAATAACTGGGTTGTCTGGTCGAGACTCGATTATTTACAGACCGCCGTCATATAGCTGGAATATTGCTGAGTGCGGCGTGAAACAACAAATAAACAAACATTATTGAACTTAATAATGATATAGTCGTACAATCGCCTCTGCTTTTAGCAGAGATTTCTTATGAATATAGAAAGCGTTTTGTTGAGAAAAAGCCATACTTCATGATTGTTTTCTTTTGGTAATACCGTACGTCTCTGTACTGTATGAGCCCAGGTGTTCATGGGCCGGGTGAACGACCACACATAGGGGATTGTGGATAATGGATGATACTATTGACTGATGCAGGGTCCAGACAGCGGAGTGACGTAGCAACGAAATACTAGGAAGATTTATGGCAGGTTCCCAATTATTATCAGAGAAGGAGCAGAGTAAGGAAGATCACGCCCATGTAGAGACAGCTCAGACTCGCGGCAGACCACGCGAATTAAGAACGAGACACGGGACAAAAATGAAAATACTTAAACTATTCTTTATATGTACAAGTTACGCTCTTATGGGACCCCTGAAGATCCGAGGTAGAATAGGTCTTCAGCAACAAATGCTTGTCGTGAGAGGCGACCAACGGGATCGGGTGGTCAGACTCGCTGACTTAGTTTATGCATGCCATCGATCCCAATTGCGTGGATCGATGCTCGTGATGTCAATCACTGGATTGTCTGTTCGAGATTCGATTATTTACAGACCGGCATCATATTGCTGTAATATTGTTGATTGCGGCGTTGAACAACAAACAAACAAACAAACAAATGCCCTTATGCGTATGACGATGAACAGCAAGCTGGAAAGCCTGACGAGCAGATGGCAAGTGCTGGCATAAGAAGCAGAAGAAACAATATCAAAATGTCACTTCAAATCATCAAAACTTATTGGCTCATGATACCACAATGTACACCTTACAACCAGCATGTCCAGAGCAGACGACACCGCGCGAAGGCAAGACACTAATTTTGATCAACAAGGCAGACAAAGCGTGTGAATTCGAATTATACGTCACATCTGTAGAATAGATAGCAGATAGCTGTTAATATCCATGAAAGTGTGTCAGTCAGGGGGAAAATATGTTTCAGCAGACGACATTCCCTGTGAAGACAACGATTCAAATTATTGACAGCAGACGACATAGATGAACACAACGGTTTCAAACATTGACATATTCCAGAATCGGAAAGCAGTCGTGGTTGAAGATGACAGAGTTAATTATCACGCCACAATGCGCTGACTCCTTTCACCGACGTACTGAATTACTGTAACAGCCAACATGCGTAATGGCTGCGGATGCTAGAGGTGGTGGCGCCCTGATGCTGCGAAGTTATCCTTGGCTTCATAATGGTCGGATAGTGTCCACTTTGTGTGTCCTTAAAGTTGCAACGACATTGTACCAATGGCGTCTTTTAGCGGAGTGTTGGACATGAGTGCGGGGACTAGGCTATCGTAGTGAAACTGGGCCCATTTAGCAAACTATCGACCAGAAGTGTATTTGTTGAAAAAATATGTTTTGCGGAAAAGGAGGAGAATGTTGGGTTTTGCAAGAAAGTTACTTAGTGTCTTGATGGACCCTCTTGACTGTTCTGGAATGTGGCTGGCTGTCCTAGTGTGTCATCGTACTCCCGTGACGTGATGATAATATCTGTTATCTGGTTTGTCTACACCCGATAAGGAGGGCGCCGCAATTCGCTGTGCAGAGTAACGTCCCTTGGGCACGCCCAAAACCTTTGATCGTTGGTTCGAATCCCGGTTCGTCGTGATTATGTTTCTATCTTTCTATGTATGCTAGCACCATTTGGTAAACG